CTCTTACCTTAGCTTTCTTACGTTTCTTCATTGATCTCTTGGGTGATTTAACATTGGATCGTCCAACGGAGTCGGAAAGATCTTCAAGTTCATCCCCACTTTCTCCATCAATGACCAAAAGACCTTCACCTTCCGATGTTGAGCATCCATCATCAAGAACTGCCATGATCTTCTCCACACAAGATGATTTCAACTTGATCTTTTCTTGATCGACGCTCACATAGGGAATATAGTCTTTAACAGTCATCTCGATGAAGTTGCCATTTGGATCCAACATGAATGGAGTTCTTCCGGTCGGCCATACAAAAGAGTAACCAAGATCAACGCATCGCTTTCCCATGGAGAGCACGGAGGGTGTGTCCTCCAAGATGTGAGCTTCTGCTGGTTCGCTAAATGCCTCGAACTTGATGCTTGAACGTTTGGTCGAACACGTTACCCCATTTGCTGTATGGAAGTTGACGACCTTGTCATCGTATGTTGGGAGATCCATTCTACTTATTCGTGTGGATGAAATGAGATCATGGCCACTTCCAGAATCCAATATGAATCTCTTATCTCTCTCTTCAACAGGAACAGTGATACACATTGTGTTGCCCCTTTTACCATATCGACCTTCAATATGCTGAACATAGTTTTCCACAAAAACTTCCCTGGACACCTCACCGTCCTCGACGTCGAGTCTGATCAGGATGTCCATGCTAGGGCCGACTATGACCAGGACTTCATCAATGTCACTGTGTTCACCCTTCTCATCGATCAGAATAGCCATTGCTTTCCCTCGGCTCGAAGCTAACCTGCATGAATAAGACCATTGCTCATCTTTCCTTATCTGATCAGTGGGCTTTCCAACTTTGCCATGCCCTTTGGAGACAGTCTGAGATTTCCGATTGCACTTCACGAAGTCCTTCTTTACGTAAGTTTGAACGTGAGTCTTAGACTCATCAAATCTGACCCTCTTCTTGACCACGTTCGATGCAATCTTATGGAACGTCTCTTCATCATCGCTCCAATCATGGACAAGTGCAGGAGTAGCCTTTGAGCTTGGTGCTTCGGTGTTGGGAGCAGTGTTAAATAGATGAGGATCGTGGCGTTTGTTGCATTTGTCTCCATACCGACACTTGCCCTTGGCCCAATGCCAGCATGGTTCATCAATCTTCTTGGTCGTTTGCCGGAGATTGACTTCTTGGAGTTCCTGGCTTCCGACCATTCCCTTTTGCGTTCTTATTCGCCTCGAACACCTTTTGATCATGACTGTATTCACAATCTTTGCCTTTTCTGCATGACTTCTTGATGAAATGGAAATGGCATGGGATCTTCTTCTTGGATCTGGGGCTGGTACTTCGGCTGTTTGCTCGATCCTTCCCTTTCCCTTGACCTTTTCCTTTTCCTTTCGCATGCTGTTTAGGCTGAGGTGATGGTAGAACTGGAGCTGCATCGGCCTTGGCCTTCGCCTTGGGCGCTGCCTTCTCCTTGGGAGTAGCTTTAGGCTTCGCTTTTGGATTTGCATCCGGTGCAGCGGCAGTTGGGTTCGGAGCAGGAGCTGAAGGTTTGCCGCCGCCTGCAAAGTCTCTCGCATACTTCTCTCTGGCTGCCACATGCTTGTCCTCTCTGATTCTGGAGATGTGCCTTTCGATGACATCCAACAGGTAGCGATAATTTCGTCTTTGGTCTCCTTCCATCCATGACTCGTACTGCTTGATGTCGAACATCATAAGACTCGAATTTCGAATCTTCTTGTATAGAGCGTCACGAAGCCAATCATCAGGAGGTACGTCATCCGGCATCATGTTTGATACCATCTCCATCCATTTCTCGTAGAACACTTCTAGGTTCGAGTCACCGAGATACTTCATCGATACGATGTGTTCCATGGTGAAGGATGTTTCTCGTTGACCTGGGGTTCTGAAGTGCTCCAGAATCATAGCCAAGATTTCCCGTCCCATGACATAGGTTCCTCTTCGGCTATGACTTTGTGTTCTCAATCTCAATTTGATCGCTACATGACGAGCAACATCACCGGCTTGGGCTATCACGTTTGACAATGCAATTGACAACTTGGCGTCGATGGACTGATACCGTTGCCCCCCACTATCATTCAACAGCTCGATGTCAGGATTTGGTCGAATAGCCGGCTGTAGCCATGCTTCCCATGCGGCTTTATCCCCGTCATTTGCCGAAAGAACAACACTCTTGATGAGATCTGATTGCCAAACCCCAAGATTCTGTTGCTTTGGCCATGGGCTAACATAGACTTTGTCAGCCTCTCGTCTTGACATTCTCGGTACTTCTTCCGCAGTGTAAGCCGCTGTGGAGACATCATCTGCTGAATCGCGTTGTGATCCTCGAACTGAAGGCAAACCAGGAGGTTCAGGAGGTGGTCCTGGACCGTTAGGCCCGAAAGGGTCCGGAGGTCCATCAGGGTCAGGCGGACCGCCCCATCCACTCGGTGGCTTGTAATAGTCCCTCTCAGTTCCGCCAGCGATCTTGTTGTCAACCTCTTTCAGCAGATCAGCGATTCTTTTGCTTGATTGAGAATGCTGTTGTTGTTGAGGAGGTACAGCATGCCCACGATAGGAATGAGCCACATTTGTCTCATAAGTCAACTCCTTGTCGATCTGCGAAACCCAAGATTTCAGAATAGCGTTTTCACAGTTAGCCTCACTCACGTCATTCTCCAGTTTGTCGATGACCAGTCTGGATGCGAGATCGGAGTTGGGAATGCCTGCCGAATAGGGAAGTGTGTCAGGACTGATCCTAGCCATAGATGTTTCAGAATCCTTGAGACTTTTTCTCAGTTCATCTAAGTGACGTTTCATGTCAACAATCTCAGAATTCTTGATGCCAATCTTTTCATCCCTATCCTGGATTTCCCCCATGAACATGCATGATCTCTCATATTGTTGAACACCACTCGCCAATTTCAATTTTCGCTCACTCTCTAGTTCAGATCTTAGAGTTCGGACCTCAGCATTGGTGAGGGACGACGCCCCTACATCCGCAACTTCAGCCAACCTTTCTTTTAACAACAAGTTCTCTTGTAAACATTCATGAACTTCATGATCTAGATCCTGAACCCTGATTTGAGCGATCTTAGCTTGATTACGTAGATCTTCAACAAGCATCTCTTCGGGGCCACGACCGTCGGTCGTAGAACCCTGAGTCAACGATCTTCGTAACTTCGTGTTCTGCAACTTGATCTCATCCTTCAATTCGCAGTTCATCTTCTGCTCGTTGGCATAGAGCTCCTCATAGTGCTCTGCCCTTGCGATCGAGTTTGCACTAGCCTGTGATTCAAGCCTCAGGTGAGATATTGCTTCGGCCTCTTGGTTCCTGTATGATGCAATTCTTCTGACGGTATCATGTTCAGTGTTTCGATGCTTCAGATCACTTTCCAATTTGGCCTGATTTGCCTCGAACACCTTCTTCCTAGATTCTCTAGTGATCTCATCAATACTGCTCTCATACAGCTCGGCCTGTTTACGAGACTGAACCAAAGCTTCACTCAATAGCTGATTTCGCTCAGATAATTCATGAACTGCAATTGATTGTTGTTGGCTAATCACTTCAAGTTGATTACTAGAGAAGGATGCCATTTCAGATCGATTACGATATTCCATGATTGAGTTCTGGAAATCATTTTGCATTTCTTGACCTTCATTGTATAGTCGATTGGCAATATCGGTGGTTAAGACATTGGTTTGATGAAGTTGTTGTAGTCTTGCCTCCGTATTACCCAGTAGTCCTTGAAGGTGATGTACTTCATCCTTGTACTCCTCCTGGATCTCCATACCACGTTGATGGATCCGTCGTGCACCATGTTCCATTAGGGCACCTCGGCGTTCAAGGTCTTGGATGCGTATTGTTGCACCTTCGTCTTCCTGAGATGCTACCATTAGTTCCGCTTGATATTCTGCAACCTCATTTGCGGAACATGACAATCTATGATTGAGTGCATTGACCTCATCAAATACATTCTGATTGTGTTCCCGAAGATACTCAGTGAATCTGATCTCGATGTCATGAATCAGTTGATCCCTGGATGCAGCGTATGCTTCCATGTTGTTCAGCTGATTACGTAGGGATTGACATTGTGCCCGTAGTTCCTCTATCATGGCAATAGGTTCACTAGCCACAGAAGTATCCGTTGATCTCCTCTTAACACGACTATCCCCGGTCCTCTCACCAATTCGGTCGGTCACGGCCCTGGTGGATCTGTCCCTTGGAGTAGTACGTCCTCGAGATGGTCGATGCCCTTGGCGGACAACATCACTCCGAGCACTGTTTCGAGAAGATCTAGGTGTACTTTGGGTGGATATTCTTCGTCTGTTTGATGTGACTTGCCATCCGGACTGTGTAGTTCGGGTAGAGCGTATCCCGCCACTGTCTGCCGTGTCGCCAGGGGAAGATTGATTGACCTCCTCGACCGGCATAGCAGCGTTCTCATTGAAGGTAAACTGCGTGGTGCGCGAATCTCCGCTGCCGCCTTGCATCTTTGCGATGATGAGCTGATTGGTCCTTTGCGTCCTCAATCAATTGCTCAGACGGCCCGGCTACCAGCACGCAGGTACCACTCTCCCGGCGGGAGAAGTGAGCCCTACGGCTGATAACCTGTGAACAAATTGATCCTTGTTCTGGATTATCCCTTTTGTCTGTAGTACCAGTAATGCTGATAGCGCCGGGCAATCTCAGTGCATGGCATGCGGACAGCGTTCTTATTTTCCTCGCGCAGGACTTGAGCCAGTACGGCGTTTCAATGCACAATCACATATGTACATGATAAGTGTCCTAGCGTTTAGTTCCCTTTGACAGTGAAATCATCTTCCAATATCCAATCTCTTGGAGTCTCAAACCCATCTAGAGAGGGATGAATACTACCTCCAAATTTGGGTTCAAAAAACTCATCACGTCAACCATTTTTCTACTCTCCTTCCATTCTCCCTTCATTCTTCAGTCTTCCAGCTCATCCCGAGTCCATCCAGCAGTTCACCAAACCGGGTGGCTGATAAGGCATCCGTGACCCCTGTTGCGGTGCCAAGGCCACTTGGTCTTCTGCTTCCTTGCTGTCCTTTGGAGATAGCAATGCCTCGTTTGTGCTGAGCTTGGGGGCTTTTGAAAAGTGGTGGGAGTTGTACAGTGGAAAGCACTGGAAATCCCTCTACTTTATGGCCTAAACCGAAACACTCAAGGTGGCTCCCCACTGATGGCTCACATAAAGTTTTGAAACACTGGCTCTAGGTCACGTCTACAAGTATGATATATTAATATATATTATATAGGAGTATGTTCTAACGCGCTTTTCCTGGGATCACCCAGTTCTTTTGTGGTCCCACCTCGTCGCCGGCGGGGTCAAAGGCCTCACCAGGGTCCCACCTCGGGTCCCAGCCGTTCGAATTGACCAAGCTACGGGTGGAAATGGGTCGAAACATGTCGAAACATGTCGAAACATGTCGAAACGACCCCAAAGATGATAAAATGAATTAAAATGAGCCCAAAAGATCTGTGATGAGCCGACTTGGGCCCCTTGGGCACCCAGCATCTTGTAATGCGGCACCACCGTTAAGTCCTCACAAAGTCGGGACTTCGCATCGCAAAGCTACACGTGACTTCCGCAAAATGACATTACACCACACAAACCTAGCCTTTAGCTGCACAGGCATGCCATGGAGGAAGATCCGTTCGCCCTCACCTCACAGGAGTTGGAGACGAAGAAAATGATGATGACCGTGCTGGTGGTGCTTCTTTCAAATTTATTGGGGAGAGAAAGATTCCGAAGTTTCGGAAGCCTTGAAGCCCATTCCTACTCTTTGATGCATCCCCATTCATGCCTTGGCACCAATACTGCCAATACTGCCTAAAAAACAAATATAGCGGATCCCAAAATCACCTCTGGAAGAGGGAGATGATGGGAGATGTGAACAGATGGCTCCAAGATTTTTGGGTTCCAAGAGTTTCATGACAGCCAGCGCTGGAGAACCTCGGAGTCGCTTCCGTCGTTTGCTGCCGCCATCTTTGGGCCAGCAGCCCTCAACCAGTTCTGGCCAGGCACCATCAAATGAATCCACACGGAAAAGATGTGGATACATTATGATAGATTTGGCATGTAGGAAAGCCATCAAGTCTTCGATATATTCTGGCGATTCCCTATGATATAGAGTGACTTTGTGGTGAAAGCTTTGAACAGACCAGCAAGCGCCATACCACTCCCTTTCGACCTCCTTCCATGGTCTTGGTCTTGAACACACAATTCCTTGGGAAAGCAGCGAGCACTAACATTGCCTTCTACGGGCACTATGTATACAATGTATGTATGTATGTATATATATATATTAACTTTGCCCGAGACTCCTGTGACAACACTCTCTCCAAGAGCAACTATGCCAAGATAGTCAAGCAACTCACACTCCTCGCAATGGCTTCGATCAAAGCCTTGGTGAGGTGGCATTGAGCTGTATGACTGCCCCTTTTGGACAGACTCGACCTTCTTGCGATATGAAATTGAAAGTTTTAGACACTCCTACGGACACGAAAAATGGCTTCCAGTTTCACCCATGCCAGGCCAAGAATTCCAATATCGTGCAAGGTCGATATAGTTTGATAGATGTCAGCCTCAAAATTCATGCACTGTAAAAATCTCTAAAAGTCATATAAAACAGCTTTCCAAAATATTCCAAAAGCATGCCCACACTGAGCGCCACCACTCAGATCTTCGCAGGTGCCACCTTGGACACCGAGGAACAGCTTCGAGGTTTGGGATTTTGGGTCACGGATGGGAACGGATCCATGTGCCACCGGCTGCCACCGGCTGCCACCAGAGGTCCAGGCACTTGGAGACTTCTTGGACTTGGTAGGTCCCTTCCAACAGCTCCTGCACCGTTTGAAGACCTCTTATTTGGTTCAGACGGTTGCCACTGAGTGCGGCAGCCAAGGCCAACTGTTTATCCTTTTCCAAGATGTCTATGCATACGTTTGTATACATGTAAATCAATATAGACAGATACATGTATAAATGGCATATGTAAATACATTGGAAATACAGTGTACAAATGTGTACAATATGTTAAGATGTCAATATGTTCAATATGTTCATCGTTGTTCATCGTTGTTCATCTCAAGTTAGCTGAGAGGTGCCAGGTCCCAGCCCGGTGCCTTGCCCTCTTCGTTCTCCATGTGTCGATGTGACAAGGAGAGTTTTCCGTTGGGCGTATCCGCCTCACCAGTGATTTCACAGGGGGGCGATCAGTGAGTTCAGTTGATTTCAGTTGGGAGATGGACGGGAACCACAGCACAGGCACCTTCACGCAAAGGCAATCATCTGGCTCTTGGCATGGCCTTGGGTCAAAAGTCAAAAGGCTGGTGGCAATGAAGACCCAGTAATTCGCGAAGATACGCGAAGTATTGATAGTATTGGGCGTTAGAAGAAGCCAGTATCTCTGTTGGTTTTGAAATAAACTAGGCAAAAGGAACCTTTAGGCTTTCAATGTAAACAACCAGAATCTGGGGAATCCGAGATTGCAACTTCTGTCTAGGTTGCTGACTGCTCTGATGTTTAGGCAATCAACTGTATCACAGATTCAACTGGTACCCTTTTTAACATCTTTTAACTACTGCCAGCACGATTTTGTGTGTCAATCTCTGGGTCTCCCTGCAGCCCGGGTCCAGCTTCAAAGCCTTGTGCGGAGTAGCAAAGTCCTGTTGGACAAGCTGCACCTTTGCAACGAGTTGCAGCGCAATACTTGGCAAAAATGTAATGTATTTGCACGATCTAATGGTCGCGTCTTAAAACTCGGCCTTGAAATTCCAAATCCTGCTGTGTCATGGATCCCCCAAACCCAACCAAGCAAAAGTTTTGGAGAAGTCACAGTCATCTTCGGGGTCTATTACATCCAGAGCTGGTGCTGCCTGAGGCTTTTCACTACAGGGATGTTGCAAATAGCTTCAGATCAAACAGGATCAACGAATCAAAAAGTCGATGAGTATGATCTACTTTACACATCAACCTGCGAAACAGATATTGGAAACCATAGTGAAATGATATGAAAATATATGAAATAGCTACATCAGAATTCATCAATCTGCCAGATATAAACAGCTGGCTGAACGATGAGATCCTGAAACATCCCCACAGTATCCAACGTGCAGTCCTTGCTCCTCCACCGGATCACCGTTGTCCTGCCAGGGCATCACATGGGATTTACCTTGAGCACCACTGCCCAGCAAGAAACAAAGCGTAACGCCCACCACAACGGCTCCAAGGGGTCCAACGGGTCCAAAGGGGTCCAACGGGTCCAAGGGGTCCTTGCATTTGCCTGCACTGGTCATCTTTCCACGAGCCTCGGAGGCAGATTGTGGCAGAGATGGGGCTGCAGTCTGGCCAAGTCGAGCCATTCGTCAAAAAGGGTCTGTTGTTTTGGGTTCCAGGCAGGGCATCCCACCTGCCGCACTTGATCTAAAAATGAAACAGCCAAGTTGCTGTCTATCAGGACTTACCATTTGCCAGACCAACGGTGTTTTTTGACACAGTTCTCCTTTCAACTCATCTTTTCGGTGCCTCATAGGTTTGAAGCCAATCTCGAAAGCGGTCCGGATCTGAGGGCTCCATCGACTTCACCCCATGCTCTTGGTGGTAGACACCATCATGGCCTCACGAAATCATGTTCTCCAGTCTCTGGGTACCAAGTAAGCATTCATACAGCGCAAAGCAGCTTACACAGTATATAGATAATATGTGAATTTATGTATTTGTTTGTGTGTCCTTTATTTATTTACTCATGGTGTATCAATTTGTGTATCTATGGTATTTATTCACCTATGTATTTAGGTATTTATTCATTTATCTATTTAGTTAGCTAGTTAGTTAGCTAGCTAGTTAGTTAGCTAGTTAGTTGGTTGGCTAGTTAGTTGGTTAGTTGGTTAGTTGGTTAGTTGGTTAGTTAGTTAATTAGTTAGTTAGTTAGTTAGTTAGATATTTCGTTAGTTAGTTAGATAGTTAGTTAGTTAGTTAGATAGTTAGTTTGTTAGATAGTGAGTGAGTTAGTTAGTTCGTTAGTTAGTTAGTTGGTTGGCTAGTTAGTTGGTTAGTTGGTTAGTTGGTTAGTTAGTTAATTAGTTAGTTAGTTAGTTAGTTAGATATTTCGTTAGTTAGTTAGATAGTTAGTTAGTTAGTTAGATAGTTAGTTTGTTAGATAGTGAGTGAGTTAGTTAGTTAGTTGGTTAGTTAGTTAGCTGGTTAGTTAGTTAGTTAGATAGTGAGTTAGTTAGTTAGTTAGTTAGTTAGTTAGTTGGTTAGTTAGTTAGTTAGTTAGTTAGTTAGTTAGTTGGTTAGTTAGTTAGTTAGTTCGTTAGTTAGTTAGTTAGATAGTGAGTTAGATAGTTCGATAGTGCGTTAGTTAGTTAGATAGTGCGTTAGTTAGTTAGTGAGTTAGTTAGTTAGTGAGTTACTTAGTTAGGTAGTTAGTTAGTTAGTTTCTTATTACTAATTACTTTACATTTTTCTATTGATCTATTCATTCAGTCATTCATTCATTTATCGAACTATATAAGTAAGTATTTACTTATTGCCATGAAACTCACACATCTCTGCAGCGTATCTAAGTTGACATGACAAGCGCTCTGCATGGTCACAGCCGACGGCCATATGCCCTCTGGCTGATGTCTGGCCACCCGTGTGGCGTTGGGATAAGCCACTTGTGGTTTGAGGTTGAAGCCAATAAAGGTACAAAGTCAAACTTGTTTGTACCAGGATGATGCGGTTCGAAAGACAGGACCAAAATGAAGACTGCAAAACCGGGAAGAAAAAGCGAGAGTTTGCGGTATAAGGAAGGACCACTAGGTAGAGTGTTGACGGGTGTGGAAAAAAACTGAACTGGAGATTAGAACGGGAACCCACAGCCCACCCGTACGTCAAATATGCCAGCGGATGGCAGGATAATGATTCAAAATGAATATGCTAATTTTCGACCCAAGAGGTTTTTCACCACAAATAAAGCTTACATCACTACGTGAGGTACAGCAGATACATAAACACAAAAAGCAAACCGAAGAGAAACAAGCGAACTGACATGCGGAAAACTGCACAAGCAAAACCCACAAGGTGAAATTGACAGGGGCTTCTGTGTTTTCCACTGCCGTTGAAGCACTGCCATCTGGTTCTGGAGGACCCAACTCTTTCTTGGATCCTTTTGTTTTGATGGTATCTTTCACCGAAAAATCAGCTAGCTTGGGATGAATGCTTACCTGAGTCAAAATTTGATGAAGCGTTATGTGATTTATTTGAAAACCCAAACGAAACTAGGACTTTGAGAAACAACTTTCCTTGTAAAGTCCATGTGGGTTGGTAGGAAACAACAATATCATCTCATGGCATTCTCATGACTATCTGAACCAGGACCCTCCGAAACACACTAGGGCCGAGTCGAGCCTTCCGGGAAGGAGGTCAACTTGGAGACGCACGTGAAACCTGGAGCCTCAGCTGCCGTCAGCTGCCAATGAAAACACTCCTACTAGTATTGGACTCCTATGGGCTTCAGGCTCCTTGGTGGCCACGAGTTGCTCAAGGAAGCCACAAGAAAAAATGAAAGCAGGAAGAACTTAGCCACTGAGCCCATGCTGAACACCACAAATGCTTGCATCCAATAATGTTACAAGCAACTCAGAAAGTTTTTTGCACCCCTGCTTCAACATCGTTGTGTTCAAATTTTAGAACTTCAAACCACCTTGCATACACATTGTTTGTACTTCAGTACTTACTGCAAGTCATATGCAGCCTAAGCATACACACTGTCTGTACTCTAGTCATGAGTGTATGCACTGTAAGTCACCTTGAATCCAAAAAGCGCAACGCTACATAAGCGAAATGCTTTGCAGATTTTCACGTCTCGAGTACCCTCGAGCACTAGCTCTGCACTCTGGGACTCCAAACGCACTTCACAGCCCAGAAGCTCGTTGGATTCCATGGATCTGCCAGAGCTTCCCTGGGCAGTGAATGCTTGGCCGACTGGAACCGAGTTGCCCTGTTTAAATCCGCATAGCATAGCGTAATAGACAATTCACAAACTTCTGTAGCCTTGTGCTGTCTTCGACCACGTCCATTCAACTCGACTCGTCACTGAGCAATTCACAAAATTCACAAAATTCTGAGATATCTCCCGCACCTGAGGTGCCCATGCAACATGGCCAGGACATGAGGCGTCAGGACATGGAGGCGTCTCGTTTGGCAGGACTGGTTTGTGGCACGAGGTTCATTTCTCAACACTGGGGTTAGTGGGTATAGAGAGCAACCCAGCTAATTCATTTCTAATTCATGCTAATTCTAGGTCCTTGATCTGACAAACATGTAAGCAGGCACGCACGGTGATTGGGTGGCTCAGGTTTGGGGGTTCATGTGGGATTGACGATTGACATATCATGACATATCCATGGTGCTCACCACATTTGCCAGCAAAATCCAGAGCCAGAACCAGCGGTCCAGCGGTCAAAATGATGGCCCTCGAGGTGCCACTTCTCAAAATCCAGGGCACAGTACCTACAAGTTCAAGGCTGTGCCGCTGTGCCGCTGTGCCTGTGGCTGATTAATTGACCTCCATCTTGACCAATGCAACTTCTGTGTTTTGTTGGTCCAAGCACCTTGTACAGTCTAGTCGTCGTACACAGTGTCCCTGTTGTAACCAGTGACTCCCTGCACCAAGCCCTTTTCTCACGCAACTCGTTGCAACTCTGCTGCCACTACCTTGGAAGTGAAACGCAAACAAACAAACAAACAAACAAAGCCTGCTTCGCCGGTCTCCGGTCTCCCACCCACAATTGCTGCCGTTCCGAAACCCACCACCTCAACGACTCGACACCAGTTAAGGTCCACACATTTTTACTGTCAGACCTCCAAAGATTATCAAATGTTCATCCCATGATTTTCCCATCCCTTGCCATCTACCAAGATCCCCAACTCCCACCAGGAAGATGATGTAAAGCCCTGCAAGGCCAGCAGCACCAAAGGGCCCCACCTGAATGGCTGAGCCATGAATGGTGTTGCTAAATCAATCTATCACTGATTCCTGGCGAAATCCCATCTTCCTACCAGTCCTACCATCCACCACGGCAAGCCCACCTGCTTCTCGAAGATTAGGGCTGCACATAGCATGATGCAAGCGAGAAATGCACCGCCTGCTACCTGCAATCTGATGGCGCAGACACAGATACTTGTTGAAGGAATGCTGACGTGAGTATGTTGCATGCTGCTATATGTATGCTATGATTGGCTCATCAAATGGCAGACCTCCATTGTCGAACAACTATTTGCATATACCAATAGTGCCGCACAAGGCGGCGGCGGAAGTTTCAAAAATAGGAAACCTATACGAGAGGTCGGTTGTTGTGAATCCCGGATGGCAGAGCGAATCCACGGATGGACTGAAAGGTGCTTGGAGCTGTATTTTTCCCGGAGTGGCTGCAATGGTTGCAATGATCACCTGGTCGGTCACCTCACCCACAACTGCTGGATGTAGTGTGGTGTAGCGCAGCTGTAGTTGTAGTTGTAGCATAGTGGGGTTGTAGTTGTGGCGCGTTTGAAGTTGAATTTGTGGTGGTGTAATGGGTGTAGTGTAATGTACGGTAGTGTAGTGTAGCCTAGCGCAGTTTAGAGTAAAATAGCGTAGTTGTAGTTGTAGCTGTAGTTGTGGTTGTAATGTAGTTCAGTGTAGTGTAGTGTAGTATAGTGTAGTGTAGTGTAGTGTGGTGTAGTGTAGTGTAGCGTAGTGTAATGGACTGTAGTTAGTGTAGTGTAGTGTAGCGTAGAGTAGTTGCAGTTGCAGTTGCAGTTGTAGCTGTAGTTAGTGTAGTGTCGTATAGGGTCGTGTAGTGTCGTGTAGCGTCGCGTAGCGTCGCGTAGCGTCGTGTGTGTAGTGTCGTGTCGTGTCGTGTCGTGTAGTGTAGGGCAGGGCAGTGCAGTGTAGTGTAGCGTCGTGTAGTGTAATTGAGCGTAGTGTAGTGGAGTGTAGTGGAGTGTGGTGTACTGTAGTGGGGTGTGGTGTAGTGTAGTGTAGTGTAGTGTAGTGTAGTGTAATGTCGTGTAGTTGTAGTTGCAGTTGTAGTGTAGCATAGCGAAGTGCACTTGAATGTAGTGCAGTGTAGTGAAGTGTAAGGTGTAGTGTAAGTTGTGTAGTGTAGTGTAAGGTAGTGTAGATGTAGCTGTAATTTGTGTAGCGTAGTGTAGTGTAATGTAATTAGTGTACTGTAGTGTAATGTAATGTAATGTAGTGAAGTTGTAGTTGTAGCTGTAGTTGTGGTCTAATGTAATTAGTGTAATGTAAAGGAGTTGAGTGGAGTGTAGTGTAGTGAGTAGTGTAGTGGTGGTTGTAGTTGAAACTGCTACAAACCCTCACGTTTTGCTCACTTTTGACAAGGTGCATAATCCCTTGCGCCTGCCACGCAAAATGGAATCTGAACGCCCAAAAGTGCTCCGAACCCGTCAGTTTTTACACTTTTGACTTCGAAATGTGCTTCGCGCCACAATGACGGCACTTTTTCGACGTCTCACTCAACTTCCAAAAGTGGTCCGAGCATGGTGTGCTTTGCGCATTTTGACTTCGAAATGTGCTTCGCGCCACAACGACGGCACGTTTTCGACATCTCACTCAACTTCCAGAAGTGGTCCGAGGATGGTGTGCTTTGCACATTTTGACTTGGAAATGTGCTTCACACCACAACGGCGCGCACTGTTGGAAATGTGCTTCGCGCCACAACGGCGTGCAACTTTTCGTATCTCATCTGACCACATGGCTCCGCGCCCGCCGCTTAAGCAAGCCTACTTTTCGACCCTCCGGAGCCACAAATCATTGGAAAAACACCGTGATTCGCGACTTTCCTACCTTTTGGCGCACCTGCATCTTCTTTCTTCTCACTCTTTCTCTTCTCTGATCTTCTCTCTTCGGCTCTTCTCCTCTCTGACTCTTCCCACCTCTGCTTTTCCATCTGTCCATATCGCGTTTGACTTCTAAACTTCCTTCGGTCATAAACCATAGTGAAATTGGAAATATGTTCACCAACTTAGCTATCTTGGGGGCCCCACTTTGTAATAACAGAAACAAAAACATATTGCAGAAACAAAATTGCGAGGCTATTGACATTATCGCTTAAACTAGCTACTCAGGAACTTTTATCTTCTCAGTCAACCAAAAATTTGCCGGGTTGGTTTGTGGGAAAATCTGCCGACTGAAATTGTTGTTCCCTCAAACCAATGAAAAATGATGGGATTCACTCCACCAGCCCAGGCCATCCGAGACCATTCGCCTGCATCTGCTGCACCGGGCTGTCGAGGCTGATAACTTGCCTCAGGGGATCTGGGTCCTAACTTTTCAAATATGCAGTTTAGGCCAAGGCATTGTATATATTACATATATTCAGGTGTGTTCAATGGGATTACTATCTCATGTATTCAGGTGTATTCGTATGTATCGGTCTGTATTTATTGCTTTACACTTTACACTGCTTTGTTGTGTTTGGACGATCACCAATTTACAAGACCCTGCTTCATTGAGGCTTCTGTGGAATAAGCTACCGCTCCCAAACAAATCATCCCCCGATGTGGCCGAAGCCAACACAAGGCCATGACCCGTGGCTTGTGGAGATGATCAGTGTGAGGCCTCAACTCGAGAGGTGGCTCCGATGGGATCAAACTTGCAGCTTCACTTGTAAGTTTGGGGTGCGAACACAAAAGGAAGCAAAACCACTCTGAAACACGATTATTATACAATCGCAACAAGGTCTCCAAGTTCCAACCTACCCAGAAAAGAGAAGAAACATGCTAGCAAAATGTGACTGTTACAACTATTACTATTACATCACCTGCTTCAAGGAGGGGGAACGTACCCAAAATGTAAGCTACATTGTTCAAGATGTTTTTGAAGGGGGCCAAGAAAATGTAAGCTTACATTTTGAAAGTATTTTGAAGACCCTCCCCACAAAAACGACACCTGGGGGACGTTCAGCAATCAATTTTACATTTAAGGGGGGGTCCCCAAAAAATGTAGCTTACATTTTGGTATGGTCATCCCCTGAAAAGTGGCCTTAAAGGGTATTATTACTAAGTTCATCACCCCCCGGGTTGCAGAAAATCTCCTGCCTGCACTTAGCAGCACATTGAATAGCGGCGATGCAAACAATGCTGTGGCAGCTGCGGCAGCTTGGCCCTGCAGGATGCAAAAAAGGCTTACTGTTTGGCAATGCTTGGCACCTCCTGCGATTGCACTGAAGGACAAGAAGAATGATAAAATGGATTTGAAATGGGAACAGTATGAGGAACTGGCGGACAACATGGACAACTGTATAATAATTACATGTAATTACATGCATTTACTGTGTAACAGTGTACCTGTCACTGTGGAATCGGATTGTCTCACTGGATCATGTACAATCCGATCATCCCAGCCAGTGCCCTTGACAAATTTCAACGCCAGGCGCCTGCCGCACCATGGCCTCAGACTGTCTAAGTTGTATCCGCCACCACTGTGCCACAAACCAACCCATCCAGGGACCCATCCAGAAATGCGGCAAGGTGCGATGGCTGTGACCAGATCTCCCAACGAGTTGCCCCATGGCACCACAGTGCTCTCCAGAACAAAGCGAGACCTGAGAACTGCAGGACCCAGCCAGGGATGGTGTTGTTGGAACATGTTGGAACGTGTTGCAAGAGCATTTGACAACTTTGGCGCTTACAGTAGGTCATTCTGAAATGACTGACCTCTGGGGCTCCCCACAGTCCCAGGAAGAACGCCACAGTTTTGCAGCACGCCGTTAACTCTCGCGCTATGGCAAGGAGTACCAAGACCTTTGGCAGTACGTGAAATGGAATGGCCCTTCGGTTTTGATTGCGTTTCTTCAAGAAAACACTGGGATATGCTGGGATTCCCTGCAGAAGAGACCTTTGCCAGCAGGGTGGTCCTCAAAGCATGCCACAATTCAAACTGCATTGTGTGTTTTTTGGTTCATTTTCCAAGGGTGGAGAGAACAACAGCCAACTAGACCCACGAAGAAATCAGTAATAAATAGGCATGATTCCAGCAATACTGTACAGATATAGAGGCAAAAGTCGAAACCTTGTGCTGCCTGCACGGCAATCAAAAACCAAGTGTGGATAGCACACACTGATTGCCGCCACAGGGGCTGTTTTGACTTGAAGTACAAGTGCCATCTTTCATGTCTACATGTCTTTCAACATCAGGCATCTGATCACCAAAATTGTGGAATGAAATGAAAGCCTTCACAACTCACCAGGCAGGCCACAGCTGCCACAGCGAGATACCGAAGCCAAGGAAGCCAAGGGTCAGTGGGTAAAGCTTCGGTATCTCAGGGCCATCACCACCCAGCACCAGCAGAAAGGTGCTGAGGCAAATGGCAGAGAACAAGGCGCACATCGACCAGGAACTTCTCAACTGGGAAGCGGATGTGGATGCCAAGGGATGCCATGGGATGCCAAGGTGCAGCACCGAAACATGACAATAACTAAAATCAAGTTCTGCCTCCCAACTGATGGGATTTGGGCACTTGAAAGACAGCCTGACCGACTTGTTAAGGAGTTTGCTATTTCACTATCCACCCCTGTATGCAACTTCAATTTTCAGCAACTGGGGTCCGGACATACCACTGAAAAGACAGTCCCTCAGGATTGCACAAAGATATGCCATCCGGCAATAGAAATCTATCAGGATATGATCCAGTATTGAACTACATGTCTCAAACCATGTTACTACAGATATCTACAAATGCCATAAGGAGCTCAGCTTTCAGGACTGATGCCATCGGCCGAGTCACAGTTGTGCATCCAATGAAGACCAGCAGGGCAATCGGGGAGGCACTCCTGGCTTCGTAGAGTCGGTGTCAACAAACTCTCAACCTACACCTACAATGCCCAGCAAAGGAGCATTTGTCCATGTCCTGCTGGGGTCCCCCGCGAGAAAATGCGCCGCGACCTGTCCCAGTAGAAGTCTGATGGTGGGATTAACATCCACCTCAACACGTAGGTCGGCCTCAGCCATCTGGCAAATCATGAAAATCAACACGAAGGTAAACAAGGTGAAACTTCAAATGACTGATTTTGCAAAAATGTTTGATTTAAGTGATATGTCGAAAGAGCGAGCACCTTTCATCCCAAGTGAATGGAAGAATTGCTTGGCTGCCAAATGCAGATTCATACCATGATGCAACTGATTCTCCCAATACAAAGCTTATACAAAACAGAGGGTGTTTTCAGCAAATCAGCAGGTGCAATAAAAGCTTCCGATGTGCAGATGGGTACCGGGTCGTCATCACAAGCGCATGACATTAATCTAAGAATCTAAGTGATCTTCTGGGATGCTGTCTGTACAGCCCAAGATTCATAATGTGCTACAATGATAACGTCAGCAAATCAAATTCGCCAATTTCACGATGAAGTGTTTGGCACTCGATGCCCATGTCACAGCAAGAACTGCCGACGTGTGAGAATGACCAACATGACCCGAAGATAATGCAGGCAAATCTCATGGTTAATCCGAAACGAAGAGTCTCAAGATAGCCAGCATCCTGCACTGCACCGCAAAGAATGGTGGAACCCCTCTCCGTTCAATCATTGAGATGGTTTGATGACCTAAATACAGTGATAGCATCAGTATAGGTCAGGATCGGTGAGAAGTGCCATCGCTGATATCAAATATATAATATATTCAAATATATATATATATATTAAATTTCAAATTCGAGCGCTGTACTTGAGTCACATCAGGCGGGAAAAGTCACATCATCCCCATGGCACGGCGGCGATACAGAAAAGTCACACCAGGTAGTGGAAAGTCACATCAGGGAAGAAGAATCACCATGGCAGAGCCTGTTTCATCTATAATTGGAGATTTAGTTAACAGTCGCCGAAGCATTGCGCACAGCGATGATTTTGAAGGGTACAAGTTCATGCAAACAATTTCACGGCAGCTAACCCTATTGGATTTGAATATATTATATTGATGTCCTGCGTCGCGTGACCAAATCAGACCCCTATTGGTGCAGCCTCAAATTTCTTGCAATGCAAATGGGTTAGCTGTAGCGAATCCTATTGGCAGGGCTATGATCTGGGATGATATAAGGATATGGGGGCCCCTTGTTTTCCGCAACCAAATCTATGGTTGGCGCGATGTGCATCAATGCCGCGGACAGCTCTCAAGAAGTTTGTTGTCCTATCCACGCAGCGATTACGAGTTGGAATAAAACCTTTCATTCCATTGCGGGCGGAAAGCGTGGTAGGTTTTGTCGGCGCTCCGTCTGCGCCGTCTGTTGTGTCTGTTCCGTCTTGCGCCGTCTTGCGCCGTCTTAGCTTGCCGTCTGCGCCGTCTTGCGAGATGGTGCGAGATGGTGCAGATGGTGAGCGCAGCGAAACAACCACGCTATGCGACCGCAATGTTTCAATGAAATCGTTCAATTACTAAAAGTTGTGGTGACGCCAAAATTGAACTTTTTCCAGGCGCACGGCCTCCCGATGCGACTTTTACGAGCTGATACGACTTAACGCTAGCACTTGTATAAGGTATCCTAATTGGATCTAATTGAGCTTCAGTCCAGAATCCATTCATCAACGAAGCACCCTTTCCAATTGAGCCGCTGGGATCCCCCCCAACTTCCCCAGGCCTTCTGCAGCGTGAGCCCTGGCAACGGTGGCGGCGGGCCTGCTGGAACTGGCACTTCGTAAGGAGCGCCTGAGCGGACCCCCCCACCCGTGGGGAAAATGTGCTGATAATAAGGTAATGCAGCAACTCATGCTGTGGTCAGTTGGCCCCAGATTTGGCATGTGGTGGAACACCAGATCATGCGCATATGCGCCCACTCTGATGTGACACAAAGCAGCCAAGTTGCCATCGTCCAGCAAAGCTAATGTGGTCAAGAAACCTATGTACCTCGCATCTGGCAAAGGCACATGTCTGCAACAAAATGCGAGGCATTCATTATGGAATTGAAAGACAACCTACATCAAGAACAACTTGTTGGGAAAGGTCAATTAGCTGGTGTCCCAACCCTGACAATACTGGGTTGATGTTACTAGCTTGGTGGAATGTCCCATGGTTTTTCATGGTTTTTCAATGCCTTTCATATCTATCATGATGTGTCAGTGAAGGGTCCCCCTCATTTCGGCTCTGCAGCCCAGGGGCAAGGCCGGCATCACAGCACAGCTGGGAAGGCTTACATGTCCAGATCCCAGCAGGAACAGCAAGTATGCCTGAGTTGTGGAACAGTTCGGATTCACCCAACAAAAAGACTTTTTACTGCATTCTAATCTGTCTCGTCATCATCATCGTCACCATCATCATCATCATCATCACCACCACCACCACCACCATCAGAATCACCATAATCATCCACAAAATAGCTTCCTGTTTTCGGTTCTATAGGAGACGTAGAGGTGCTTACAGCCCACTGGTGGTTTGGCATGTGGTAGAGCATGAGTGGTAACCCCAAAATGACCAATCCACATTGGGTTTTTGCAAGACACGGCACTCCAACTTGATCCAACTTTCACGAGAGATGTTCAATTCTCTGTTGCAAGGACCTGCTTTTCTTAGTCAGGAAAACAACCATCAGAGATGACCTATGACCTATGAATACATTCCAAAATCGATGAAATCAGCTTCAGGCATCCCCTGGTTCGAGACTGTGACCAAGATGCTAAAGCACAACAAAGCCAGGCAGCGCTACCTGCCTTAGGAACCCCAGTGCTTGGATCAGCGAAAACATGTTCGTGCAACTAGGACAAATATTGAAATCTCCGAAGTAAAATTAGAAGAAAAAGGTGCACAGTAAACTGTCCACTAGGTTGGTCAAGAGTTCTGGTTGTGGCCCCTGAGCCATCATGGACTGCAATTAGCTCAAGGATCACAACCCAGGGGTGCAGTTTACGGATCGTCGACGTATAGGTTTGGATCTTGAGAGTAACAGAGTCACCTCAGATCACCTATCTGCCAAAGCAAATCTTCCCTGACACATCCCTTGGG